GCATTTGCGGTCGGGGTAGACGACGGATGGGGCCCACCTACGAAGGCTGTCCAGGCCTACACGAGATGAGGCAGGATAAAGAGGGATAATCCCCCTCGAACCCAAATCATTGAGGCCAATTTCTAGCCATAGAATATTGGCGCGAAGCTTGAAAGGGATCAGTAGTTTGTAGGCAATACGGCAACAGTTATGCAACCTCCGCTCGTTTACCGATCTGGAATGTATGATCTTAGACAACACCTGCTCCCTTGAGTCCCGTGATTAAATGTCAATTTAAATTTACTTTTCTATCCTAGTTTTTTAACCCTATATCTATATTTTTGGTGCGCAAAGTATATCTGTTGTAATAATTCATTAAATTAATGTAATAAATAAATTATGGTATAAAGAAAACTATATTTCCTAATACATGCGTAAAATAAAATAATGAACTGTGCACAACTAATTCATTCCGCCATGTTGAATTCCTTAACATAAAATAATGAGTAGTAAGTTTGGTGTTATCACGACAAAAAAAAAAGAACAGGTTGTTGACTATAATATTGTTTACTGACACTATATTTTCAGCCAAAAAAGTGTGCAGCAATTTTATGCATTAAAGCGATTTTGGATGTTTATATTATAATCACGAGTACCTAGGTGAGTAATATGATTTTGTAACATCATAAGTAATAGGTATCTGTGTGTCTCCACTTAAGGTATAGAGAATGTGAAAAGTAAAATTTAGGTACCTAAATCTTAAGAGAAAGCTATTCATTTGTATGTACCTATATAATACATAACTTGAACTTTAAATAATTTCTAATAAATATTTTTATTCTAGTTTTTATAAACGTATTCAAATAACTAAAGAATTTAATTCTCTCGAATTAATTTTATTAAATACATATCAATAGAATTACCAGATAAATATATCTAATAATGTCAAATACCTAATATAGTGATGACAATTATTCAGTCTTCATAGCAATTTTTAATAAATGGGAATTTGTGTTTTAAAAGAGTAAAGTAATAGTTAATTTATTAGGGAAGATGATACGTTAAAGCCCTATTTCATGTGTTAATTATTTGTAGAACGTAAATTTTTTTACTTAAAATAGCTACCATTCAATATTTTTTTATAATACCTATAACATTATGTATGTAATAGTATGTATTATTAATACAAGCAGAAATTTTTTCTTCACCCATAAACTGATCAATACATAACTAATTGTCATTATGAGAATCACATTGCAGTAATATATGTAGGTACCCGATTAAAAAACCCTTCAAATTTCAATACAACTTTTTTTCTATTGATTTATTAAGGAAACCTTTAAAATGCAGATGTAAATGCAATTATGAAGTACTGACTTCATGGTACAAAGTCGAATCATAGATCGACTAATATCAAGATACTAGTTAGCCATATTTTCACTTAGGTACTTAATACAAATAAAATATAATTCATTATGTTCAAAAATGTATGTCTCATTTATAATAAACAAAGAAACTAAATACTTTTATCTTTTATCATTGTGTACACATCAAGATAAATGTTTTATTGATTTTATGTTAAAGTACCTAATATTAGTTACAAAGTTTTTTAGAATAGAGAAGATTATGCAAAGAAGTTTAGTTAACATAGTGTTTTCTTAACAGGTTACTGGATTTAATATACACTCAAACATCAGACTACAAGGTAAGTGCAAATCCTACATATGAAAAAAAATCATACCTACCTAACTTATAATGAATAGAAATAGGTATATTACAATTTGAATTTTATGTAAAAATAAATAAAAAATAAATTGTCAGGTATTTATAACTCAATAATTTTAGTTATCATTTCATGAACAAATTTTCTGATCTTATTTTGTTTTATGTATTATATTGTAGCAGTGTTAAAGCCATAACTTTTATACAAGCATTTATTATGTAAATATTTCCTTACTATCTTTTAAAAGTTGTTGCCTTGTATTTGTTAAATTTAAATATGTTCAATTGTAAAGTTCATAGTTAACAATGGACTTTTGTAGTAAAATTCAGTAAGGTGAAGTCGAGGGTGAAACCACAGGAGTAATTTAGTGTACAAGCTAGAGAAATATTTGAGTAATACGGTGTAATATTTGACTAATTAATAATAACAATTACTTGAGAATTTTAGTACACACAATTTTGATAGTGGTTTCCTCCTCAGATGAAGAGTTATTGAGAGATGTTAAAGAGAATATTGACAACTCATTTAAGAGCAAAAATGATATGTAATTCCGAATCTATGACCTGTGATACCATTAATTCAGATCATTCAAACATCATAACTTTGAATTTTTTTAATTACCCTGTGCCATGTAATAAAAAATTATTTCATGTAACCAGGTTAGGTTATAGTTTGTGTATTTATGAAATAGCATGTAGGTATTATACAGCGTGTCCCACTAGTGCGGGAAAGTCCAATATCTATGTTAAAATGAGGAATATATGGATTTTTCTTTTTACTGTGTTCTCACATTTCTCGGACTGTACAAATTAAAAATATATTCAACTTTACAGGGTGTTCCACTTTTCTGGCCAGACGCCAACTTTGGTTTTTTAAATGGAAACACATTTTTTATATTTTTTTCGGATTGTACATAAAAAATAAAGGGTACTTTGTGTAGAATAGTTCTATTCAAATATTCAGTTTTTGAGATATCTCGCTTGAAAGGTTTTTCTAGTCAATATTGGCTGCTTACATTTTCTGATACTACTGACAGGTTATACTAATAGCACATATCTAACCCATATGCGACACTGAGAGAGATAAGGCTACTTCGTGCAACACGAATGGAGATACATCCAAGTTAAAGGGACTGAACGCATGCGTATTTCCAAACAGAACAGCTGTGTGACAACTAGGGCTTGCAATCCCGGTATACCGGGATCCCGAAATAGCGAGATCCCGCACCAATTTTTAAATATGCGGATCCCGTTGTGGATTGCGGGATTCCGGGATTGTGCACAGGTGCTTCTCACGATCCGTTTGGCGTCGTTGATTTCACACGTGGCCCGACCACGACGCACAAAATAACTTTGTTTTCTTCGTTGTTAGTAGTAGTAGTCTGTCACAGAATAATTAACGTATATGTTCTAGAGGAAAGTATCTAGAACTAGCCTATATTTGTCTAAAATCTGTAAATCCCAACAAGTGTCGAGGCCGAGAGAGCTTTTTCTGCTACCAGTTATCTAGTAAATGACATACGGAGCTCGTTATCATACCACAGCGTAAATATATTGTTTTCTTCGGAAATATTTTCAGCAAAACCAATAAATAAAAATAAATAATTTTTTCAATTAATATTAATTTCGTTATTTTATATTAAATACATATCATTTTGTTTATGTTGTACATCTTAAGCCGTGTTGGGGTGCGTAATACAGCCTAATCTGCATAATTATTTTTGTTTGGCGTTCAAAAAAGAAATTTTTTGTGGTATATTGAAAATAAATGATATAAGTTTAATTTTATACTTGTTTTAGTTAATACATAAAAAATGTGGATATTATAATAGAATAATATATCATATTATCGCGGGATCCCGTTTATACCGAGATCCCGCGGGATTTTAAAGTCAAGTGCCGCAAATACCGGGATTTTCANATTTTGTAAACATTGTTGCCGTTAGCTGTATTGGAGTGTTTTAAAAAGTTGTTTACAGTGGATTTATAGTTATTTATTTTTAAAACTTTGGCGTTTTTATTAACAATTATTTGCAGTTGCAAAGAATGTCTAAATCAGTATCGGAAATGCAAGAAAGAAAATAAAAACATACATTTTTTTCGCTTTCCTAAAGAAGAACAATTAATTGTATAATTATTAAGTACTTTTTATATAGATAAATTTAAATTTCTTATAAAAATTGTTTAAAAATTCAATTTTTATAATATAAATTGTTCTTTTAAATGTCGATAGAAAAATGTGGACGCCCAGAATTAATAATGCATGGATAAAACGATTTCAAATTTACATAACTAGTGTAACACCATTTGGAAGTTTACTATCCCTAAAATGACATATTTTCTATATTCTTTACTCTAACTGAGCTATTTAATAAAATAACTTGTAATTCTGCGAATTTACTACTACATAAAATCTATCAATCAAAATTTTAGTAAACCTCTAATAAAAAAAATGAAAAATTAAATATGTGTAATTTTACATTTAATACATATATAGCAATTTTACTTTAATACATTAGTTATCTAATTTATCATCCCGTTTAGACAGACACTTTATTAATTAAGTGAAAATTGTGATAAATGCAGGTGTAAGTATTTTATGTTCATGTTTATTCAATATTTCGAACCGGCAACGCTTTCTTCAGATATAAATTTTTATTGCTCAATCTGGCAACGTTTAGCATCCAATTTAAAGGAACGAGGTCAACGGCGGCATTTACGCCACATCAAGGGAGTGTCGCATATGGGTTAGATATGTGTTAATAGCTACTAAGACCATTTTTTTATCAGATGTTTAGTAACGATGACTTCCGAATCATGCTCCAAAAACTGACCTGCGTTATACAGGGTGACCAAAATATCATGTCAAAATTGACAATTGAAAAATTGAAAAATCGAATTTTTTAAATGCAACACCCTGTATATTTTCATACCATGGGATGCAGAATTAAATTCTCTACAACTTTGCTATACCTGCTCCCATACCAAAATCCATTAGTTTTTCATGAAATCTCATTTTTATGAAAAAATGCGAAGTTTACAAATAGCTTATATGTAAAATAACCTAGTAGGCTCCTGTCAAAGGAAAATCTGGAAAATTTTCGATTCACATAAGGTTTAATAGAAAAGCAACAGTAATAATTGTGAAATGAATTACTCTAAATAAGAATTAGTAAATAAACAATAGAACAATTAGTAAAACTCATGGTAACTGTTTATTGACAAGTATTTACCAGACTAATAATTCAGATTTACAAAGATATCCTCGTACAGTGTTTTGTAAAACTGAAGAAGTTTGAAAGAACGGCAAATGCAAATTATGAGAAGACAACAAGAACACACGCATGCAGTAATCAGGATAGTTAAATTGACAATTTGGGATGTGCAGTCCAAAATCCATCTACAAGTGTCGGAGAAATTAGTGATGAAATTAGTATTTCCAAAAGTGTGGTTAATAGAACGTTAAAGAAAAACAACTGCCACCCCTATAATTCTGAGCATCACCAATTCTTAACACAGCAAGATTTTCAGAAGCGAGTACAGTTTTGTGAGTGGGCAACTATAGGTAAAGCTACAAGATGAAATTTTTTTTTCAAAGGTGTTCGCCGATCATAATCCCAGATTAATAAGACAAAACGATCATCAACACCCCTTTAAAGTCAACGTTTGGGCGGGAATATGCGGAGAACATGTCATTGGACCACATTTTCTTGATGGAAACTTAACTGGTAATGGGTTGCAATTTTTACAAAACGACTTGCTCCAATTGCAGGGACATATTCCTCCGGATGACTTAAACAGTCAGTGGTTCCAACATTATGGTGCCCCTGCACATTCCACACTGGTGGCAAGTTTTCTCATTATGTAAATTTTGTAAATTCATAGAAAAACTGTTTCAGGTTAGAGAATACTTAAATGGTTTGTATCCAGATAAGTGGATAGGTAGAGGCGGTCCAATTCCATGGCCTCCCCGATCCCCAGACCTGTCGTCATGATTTTTTTATGGGGCTATATAAAAGACAGGGTGTATAAAACTCCTCCGACAGATGTAGAAGATTTACGGGCAAAGATAAGAAATGCTTTTTTGACCGTAACTCCGGAAATGCTGGGAAATGTGTCGAGCAATTTTCGTCTTAGAATTGCTCAATGTCTAGGGAAAAATGGCAGACATTTTGAGCGGTTAATTACTAATTTAATTAGGTCTTTATTACTTTTGTTAGAAATGCACGATTTTAATTTACTGTTTTGGATACTGCATGCATGTTTTCTTGTTGTCTTCTCATAATTTGCATTTGTTGTTCTTTCAAACCTCTCCTTCAGTTTTACAAAACACTTTGCACGAGGATATCTTGTAAATCTGGATTATTAGCTTGGTAAATACGACTTGCCAATAAACAGTTACCATGAGCTTCTCCTACGGCGTACACCATATTTACTAATTCTTCTTTAGTGTAATTCATTTCACAATTATTACTGTTGCTTTTCTATTAAACCTTATCGAAAATTTTCCAGATTATCCTTTGACAGGAGCCTACTACGTTATTTTACATATAAGCTATTTGTAAACTTCGCATTTTTTCATAAAAATGAGATTTCATGAAAAACTAATGGATTTTGGAATGGGAGCAGGTATAGCAAAGTTGTAGAGAATTTAATTCTCCATCTCATGGTATGAAAATATACAGGGTGTTGCATTTAAAAAATTCTAGATTTTTCAATTGTCAATTTTGACATGATATTTTGGTCACCCTGTATAACGCAGGCCAGTTTTTGGAGCATGATTCTAAACAGTCATCCTTACTAAACATCTGATAACAAAATGGGCTTAGTAGCTATTAGTATAACCTGTCAGTATCAGAAAATGTAAGCAGCCAATATCGACTAGAAAAACCTTTCAAGCGAGATATCTCAAAAACTGTGAATATTTGAATAGAACTATTCTACACAAAGTACCCTTTTTTTTATGTAGAATCCGAAAAAAATATAAAAAATGTGCGTTTCCATTTAAAAAACCAAACTTGGTGTTTGGCCAGGAAAAGTGGAACACCCTGTATAGTTGAATATATTTTTAATTTGTACATTACGAGAAATGTGTCAACACAGTAAAAAGAAAAATTCATATATTCCTCATTTTAACATAGATATTGGACTTTCCTGCACTAGTGGGACACGCTGTATAACAAATGTATTGTGTGTAATTCAATTTATATTTTCTAAATTTCTGTTATAAAATCATCATTTCAAAATTGCTCTTGGAGAAATTGATTTAGAATTTTTTTATCAATTGTACGTACCTACATATTTGAATAAATTGGTCATTTGGTCAAATTTAAGGCTAACGTCTTTGAGAATAAAAGTCAATCATAACAGCAAACCAACTGTAACAGACATAAGATTTTATGATAGACTAACATAACTATCAGACACCTACAGGGTGTTCTACCTAAGAGGAATTCTCCTGTAACTCTGCAACTGTAAAATTTATAAAAAAATGGTTTTAATAAAGGTTGTCTGGAACCATGTGGGCCATGTAAAGAAAATATTTTTAGCTTTACAGGGTGTTCCATTACGCGTGGCGCTACATAAATTTGTTGGTTAATATTAGGTGCAGTTAAATGTACATGGTGTTTAAAACTTACCGTTTCCGAAATAATCAGTTGTTTTTGGAAAAAATCACGATTTCAGCTCTCTAAATGAGGCTAGATAGCGTCTAAACTGTAAGAGTTAGAAACCTGCAGTTTTTACAGTTTGTTTTGGCATAAATTACTCTATCTTATCATCTGTGAGCAAAATGTGTACGTTATTCAGTCTCGGAATACTGTTTATCTACATTTAATAATCGTACTAGTTGAAAAACTTTTTTTTCAAATGGAATGACCCATATTAATTGTTATGGGTGAATGCAAAATTGAAGGTAAGGTACTTTACGCTTGACAATTTTTTAAAATTCATCGTAAAAACACCCTGTTAGTTAACGCGTTTCACCGTAACAGCTCTGTTTTTAAAAATCTTTACTTATTAATTAATTAATTTTTTTAGAAGGATTACAAAAAAATAAAAAAAAAACGGAGGACTTTACATCTCGATGGATGGAGAACAAGTGTTTATTCATGTAAAGTAAAACATTATCTAGAATTATTATCTTAACATATCATATTTCTAAGATTTCGGGTTCATCGAGCTCGTAACTCTTCCCGGCCTAAATGGTGCAATAGCCTTTTTAGGATATGCAGAATGGTGTTTCTCTTGCACCGATTGATTCTTCTTTCTTCATTTTTCTTGAGGTCAATTTCGTAAATAACTGTTTTAATTTAGGAAATAACATATAAACTATAATTATATCAAATACAATGTTTTTATTGGCGTTTCTATTTGTAGAATTTGAGTCTCTTCGGAATTATTTGCAACTATAATTTCATCCTTGTTTGAGGTGATATTGAAAAAAGAATAACACTTTCTCATGGCAACTTTTTGCCCTCTATCAAATGGCATATTTAATTTTTATATGTAACGTTTCGTCTCTCTAGGACCATCATCAACCTAATTTTTTTAAATACGACCTTGGAAATTTTATTACATTTTTTGCAAGTCTTCATGACCTCCAATACTGTACTGCCTCAGCTCGATCCAGATTCAGATGTTTTGTCTCTAAAAATTCATCTTCATTGTATTCGTTCCAAATTTAAATTTAAATTTTTTTTTAGATTTCTGTGTTTCTTGAATTATCGTACACTCTAAGTTTTGTTAGACCTTGTGAACTCCATCTAGTTTTTAAATTATTACCATCACACGTTACAATAAAATTATTAGATATTTAATCCTGTGCTCATAGGTTTCTCGTGCTCAAAATTCAAACAAATTTCGATCTAACTTTTTTCAGGATATTCATACAAATACATACTCTTTCATGCTTATCTTCACTTTCAACATTTGCCAAAACGGAACGGTTGTTGAACATTTACTTTAATTTTTTAAAGTATAATATTTATTTGGAGTTTTGGTTGTTGATATGCATTTTTAAGAATTAATTTGTCATAATGAAATTCAAATTGCAGTAATGTTTTAATTTTGACGCAACAACTTATCGAATTATGTATGACTAGGATGGAGATTAAAACTCTAATAATATTTTATTGTAACATGTGATGGTAATAGTTTAAATAAATAGGTGGATTTCACAGGGTCTAACGACACTTAGAATGTACAATAATTCAAGAAACATAGAAATCTTAAAACAAATTGGATAATCTTCTCGCCGGAATACTTATGTAAATTGGTTTTCGGTCAAATAGTTTGAAACCAGGTGGTTTTTGTAGCTTTTGAGTGGTAGATTAAAAGTGTCAATGGGCGTCAAGCCCTAAAAATTTATGGTTCAATGTTGCAGCTTGTTGAAGCTACAATGCTTTAGATTTCACTACCTGCATAGTATAGTAAAAAATTACTACATTTTTGCTCAATGCCCAATAACCCAATATATCGAAATCTCTGACTGAAAGGGTTAAAAACGATATTGAGATGATCTTTCAGATCACGATCAGTACAATCGATTTTTCACAATCATTATCGTATAATAAAAGTCATTGCGACTGCCGTCTGCATTTGAATGACCTGAATGTACATCACAGGGAGGTTGCTAGATCGGACTTAGCACATCATGCAACCCTAAGAAGGGCTGATTTTCAAAGTTGAAAGATCCTGTCTAGCAGGAATCTAATGCCTTAACGTAATACTTCAATATTATTTCCGTTCTCATTGCGTGCATTTGATGTTGAATTCAGCAAGGATTCATTGGGGTACTTGATATTATTTTCATGCCGCGTGTAGCCTAAAAACCATAAAATGCACGCGATATCAGCATATGTACCCAACGTCTGAGTACCAGATTGACATGTCCAGTAATATTCTATTATATTATCGACATCGTCAGCATTGTTAATTTCGTCTCCATCAGCATTATTGTAAGCTATAAATATTTGGTGCTTAACAGCTTTTCGAAACCTGGAGTAATCCCTAACTCTTATAAAAGCCCCGTTCATTTATATGCTGATCTAGTTGAAATTCTTCATCATTTTCCCTCACGATTTTATCTTGTATATAAGATGGAGAAAGCTTAACCTGATAAATACCTACAGTTATGTCTTGTAAGTCGCCCAGGTTAAGAACAGGAAAATCAGGGATATCATCACGATGTAACCTTCTCCATTGACTATTTCTTCTCGCAAGATTTTCTACTTTAACTCTGGCTTGAACGACATTAGGAGTTTGCGATTTTCACAACATTTGTTGAGCCAGTTCAACAGTTGCACCTGCCATGTGTATAACGGGATGATACCTATTGATTAGAGCACCAACAATGCGATAAAAGTCACCAATATATTTTGCATGTTGCATATTAAATGTATTAAAAGTTTGGTCGACGTTTTTGTTCCTTGCATAAAACCAGGTAGACAGGTATAAACAGGTAACTTTGAATTGAACTATAATTTTGAATTGAATTGAATTGAATTGAGTTTTGAATTGAATTGAACTTTAATTTTTTATTAAAAATAGCTGTGCTGGGAAATTGGATGTCGACCAAATCAAATTTTGTTTATTAATACATTATATTATCAAAATTTAAATTTCATCAGAAAACTCGATGTGTGAAGGTCGATCTAAGTCGGGATTTTAGACTATTGCATTCATGCAATTCATATTGAACACTACATCTTAACAGTGATAAATATTTAGAACATTGGTTTATATGTTAATATTTTGTAATGAAGGGATTCTAACTTATATTTTCTTTTTATCCAGATGAGAAGAGGTTCTCATGATATGCAAGTTAACGTGGCAGGTATTAGAAGAAACTTGAAAAATTTTGCCCATAATTATTCAGATGCTCAAAAAAAAGTAAGAGAAGCTACTTCAAATGATCCTTGGGGTCCCAGTAGCACGATAATGGCTGAAGTTGCCGATTTAACCTATAATGTAGTGGCATTTAGCGAAATAATGCAGATGATATGGAAAAGATTAAATGACCATGGAAGAAATTGGAGACATGTATATAAGGCTTTAGTATTATTAGATTATTTAATAAAAACTGGATCAGAAAAAGTAGGACAGCAATGTAAGGAAAACATATTTGCCATTCAAACGTTAAAAGATTTCCAGTATTTAGAAGAAGGTAAGTTTTTGTGATTTAAAACCATAGTTAGAACAATAAATGAGGCATTTTTTGCAAAAACTCCATATATGTCGATTTTGAATTAAACCTTAATTGATTTATGGATAGATTTTCTACAACTCTTATATGAAATTGTTCTAATAAAAATTCTCAAATATGACATGTCAGTCAATTTCCATAATAGTAAATATCATTTTCAAACCTTCATATAGAAACCGTTACAATAAATTATTAAATGTGGAAAATAAAATTCTTGCAAAAACACTAAGCCAAAACAGTTTCAATAGTCGAGGAAATAAAGCACTAAAAACGGCCTTACCTCTGAAATCTGTGCAGTAAGATGGATTGTGATGCGGTTTTTTGCATTCGATTCATTAGAGCATCTAGAATGTTTGTGACCCTATGTCATCAATGAGAAATGAAATTACATAAGAAAAATGCATTTTTAAAATTGCATCTTGAAGAGTTAAAATATGAAAAATTTACATCTCGGAAAATATTGACGGAAATGAGTTAAATTTTGCTACTCAGGGGTTTTTGGGGTCGCTGAACACGAATATCATGATGGCAACGGTCTCCGAGGTACCTAGTGCCCAGGGTGGCTGGTTTCCACGACGTCTCCTAGAGTTTTATGGAAATTCGTTATAAACTTAGTCAAAACTCGTTACCTTGGGGTTTTTGAGGTCGCTCAACACGAATATCATGACGGCAACAGTCTCCGAGGTACCTAGTACCCAGGATGGCTAGTTTCTGTGACAACTATTTTATTCTTAATTATTTTTTATTATAAAAATACATTTATTCATTACAAAAAATACATGTTTTCAAAAAAATATACTTAGATATCTTTACAATTTAAATTTTTCTTATTTCACGTGTGTGCTATAACTTGGAGCGTATCTGTATACAGTTCGGAAAGTCCTCATGGTACATCAGCCGTTACGTGAGAGCGATAAAGTAAGTCATAGAAATCCGTGCGATAGACAAGAATGGTTACATTAAAGACGTGTCATAATCTGAATAGTCACCGCCCGTTTCGGGTTAGAAGTGGGAGTGACTATTCAGATTATGAAACGTCTTCATTGTAACCATCCTTGTCTATCGCACGGATTTCTATGACTTACTTTATCGCTCTCACGTAACGGCCGATGTATCATGGGGACTTTCCGAACCTGTGTAAGAGTATATATTAGCAGGTATATATGTAAGAGTAAAACGTGGAAGCAGCGGCCAGCGATCTCAGTCCTTACCTAAAATTTCATCAATGCTACCAACTGTATTAAAAGCGCCAAATTTAAAAAAAAATGTTTCGGATAATTTATTTAGATATTCGATAAAGCTTATGAAGATGACATCGGTACCTTGGAGACCATTACCGTTGTGATATTTGTGTTGAGTGACCCCAAAAACCCCAAGGTAATGGGGTTTCGGCTAAGTTTATAACAAATTTCTAAAAAACTCCAGGAGACGACATGGAAACCGGCCACCCTGGGCACTAGGTACCTCGGAGACCGTTGCCGTCGTTCGTGTTCAGCGACCCCAAAAACCGCCGAGTAGCAAAATTGAACTCATTTCCGTCAATATTTTCCGAGTTATAAATTTTTCATATTATAACTCTTCGAGATGCAATTTTAAAAATGCATTTTTCTTATGCACCGATGCAATTTTCATTTCTCATCGTTCACATAGGGTCACAAACTTTCAGGACGCTCTAACGAATTGAATGCAAAAAACTGCATCACGATCCATCTTACTGCACAGATTTCAGAGGTTCAGTGCTCTATTTCCTTGACTACAAAGAAAAATTAAAAATGTAAATTAAGGGTAACTTGGAACAAAATACGCTTCATGATACAAGACCAACGCAAAAATCATTGTCACAGAGTTTTTATAAATAATGCATAGTGATATAAGGGTTGGGAGGTAGGTGTATATATATTATGATATATATCCTGTCATTATTAAAGCGTCCTTGTGTTAAAGTGTGTACAATAAGTTATGAAACATGATGACAAAATTTAGGTGAACGCTTTTTTGGTCTTTTAATTCATAGAAATAACGAGCGTTCAAATAAAAACGTGGTCGAAGTTGGCTCTGACACATTGGACGTAGGGAGTAGCTTATAGCGACCAACTTAACCTCATTTCTCAACGAGCTGTATAGCAGCTGTCAGTTTCAATAACGTTAATGACTATATAACTTTATTTTAAAGAATAATCGTGATAACAATAACAAACAATTAAAGGAGCTGCGGAAAGTGTCCCCCTCCTTGTTATAACAATAAATTAAAGCAGCTGCTGAAAGTGTCCCCCTCCTTGTTCCAAGCACTTTTCACACCTGTTCCTCAAAGAATTAAAGACATTTTCTAAGATGCTCGGGGTATTGTTAATTTCACGAATCTTGTCTATAAGTCGAGCCTGCAGATGGTTTAAATCAGGAATAGGCAGTTCAAAAATAGTGTTTTTAAGGTAAGGCCACAAAAAGAAATCACACGGCGTAATATCACATGACCTCGGTGGAAATTCATGTTCAGCATTGAGACTTATTAGTCGATTTTGGAAAACTTCCCTCAACATATTCATCGTCTCGCCTGCCGTATGTGCCCTTGCGCCATCTTGTTGAAAGTAAAAGTTTGTAATTTCGTTTTCTTCCAGCTGGTTAACAAAAGGAGCGATAATTTCTTCTCTATACCTTTGCGCAGTAAGAGTACCATTAAAAAAAATAGGTCCATAAATCCTCCTTCGATTGAGAGCACACCAAACTCCAATTTTTTGAGCGTGTAGAGGGCCCTCGACAAAAAAGTTATCTGGTTTTTCAGAAGACCACATTCTCATATTCTGTGAGTTTACGTAACCACTTAAATGAAACCAGGCTTCATCAGAAAAAAAGGTGATATTATGAAGTTCACCGTAGTTGTTTAAAAACCATTCACAAAATACAGCCCGTCGCGGAAAATCAACTTCATGAAGTTCTTGCTGACAAGTTAAACGATAGGAGAACAAACGCAAATCTTTTTTTAACACTGTGTGGCAGGTACCGACTGATACTCCCACCATTTGTGATAAAACACGTACAGAAGTTCTTGGCGCATTTTCCATTATTTGTTGGACATTTTCTTTTAATTCTTCAGTCCGCTTTTTAGGTCGGCCGCTTCCTTCTTTTCTTGTTACACTGCCCGTTTCACGAAAAACATTAACACAACGCTGAACTGCACTTTGAAAAATTTTGTACTCAACAACGCCGGGAAATTGATTTTGAAATTCTATGAAACATTCCTCAATAGAATACTTCCATATTCCATCAATCTTGCGTCCATTTCTAAAGTAGGACTCTATGATAAACACTTTTTGTTCTTGAGAAAACACCATTTTAAACGCTTTTTAAAACGAAAATATTCAAATTGATAGCGGCGATATAGCGCTTTGACAGATGACGTTTAAGTTCATTTGCTATACGCTACGCCCTACGTCCAAATTTTCAGAACCAACTTGACCACGTTTTTATTTGAACGCTTGTTATATAGCGGCCGTATAATTTTAGTTCGACCGATCGCCGTTTGGAGACTATATCAGAAATATATTATAACATATATTCTCTCGTGTTTTGGGCATCCCTTGGTGTGGCTTCGCTGTATTCCATACATTACTACCTACTTACATTTCATTTAACTTGAGCTTTGCCCAGGTTCTCTATTTCTGATCAGTCTAGAATCTAAGCAGAACTATAAACGCAATAGACGAAAGATCTAAATGATTCAGATCTGGATTTTTTGAAAACCAAAACGTATTAGAATTTGTGAAATTTGCCGGGAACTTGTTTTAGTAGTGAATTAATGAGTTAGTTCCGAATCTAATCATTTTCATCAAAGTTTTCATCTGTTTGCTCTTTACGTCTTTGTCGTATACATTAATCTCTAAGGGCCGGTTTTATACGTTGAGTTTAAACTGCAGATGTCAAATTAACCTCCGTTTAGAAATCAACATTCGTTTTATAGGTTAAGATTAACTACATAGTCGAGTTTAAACCCACGTTAAACTTAAACAGAAGACTATTACCGTTTAAACTGCAAATTATAACCTAAACGTGTACGTGTTTCGCTTTTATTACCGTTATAAAAGTATTTATAAGAAATTTTAAGCACAATGGAGGATATATTGGATGCTTTTAAAGAAATTCTAACAGATGACGAAAAAGACTTAGCAGTTTTTGTAGAATAAAGACCTCATCAACAAAGAATATTCAGGGAAAGACCGGATCATTTTAAATATGGGATAACACAGAATTTTTGATAGGTTTAGATTATTAAAAGAGGGTTCAGTATATGTTACATCAAATAGAAGAAGTAATAACACATCACACTAAATGGTAATTAAATTGCATAATTTGAAAATCACTACTTGAGTTTTTGTAGGAATCATGCTTTAGAACCTATAACCTATAACTCAACTACTGCTTACTTTGCACTTTTTTGCATCTGGAAATTATTTAATTGCAGTTGGTGATTTTGCTGGAGTACATAAATCTACTTAAAAATGCACTATATAGAATAAATATAATTTTTAAAATAATAAGTGTATACACTACAAAGGTATAAATGTGAATAAATCTGCTTTGGTATAGTTTTTAACTACCTTCTACCTAGCAATTTATATATATTTGAAATTCCGGCAATAAAACATCTGGCAAACATTCGCATTTCCTTCTGTTAACACAAAATTTTTGTTTCCAAGATACCAACTGCTGATCATCTTAAGTTTAACTAAACGATACTGGGTAAACAACTATACAACGCCATTATGCGATCTATAGTTTAAACTTCAGTTTAAACTTCGGCCGCAGTTTAAGTAATCTGAAGTTTAACCCGAACCTATACAACCGGCCCTAAATCAATTTTGCTCATCATGAATATATTAAAATTGTTTTCTGTGGTGGAAATGGAATCCTTGTATGTATCTGATAGGCTGTTAACATTTACAAAATCGTGAAAAATACTGCTAATT